CTATGACTGAGAAAGCATGCCAAGATGGTAAGTAATATCCAGTTGTTTTTCACTATTAATTTGTTTGTTAAAATATGTATTTTCACAGATTAAAAAAAATGTAAGTACTATGCTGATGAAGGACTGGGTTTTGGGGGAAATTTCTAGAATTCTCACCCAAAATGCTTTCTACTTTCTGGTTTAGTAGTTTCAAACTGATTAAAAATACAATGGCAAGAGAGTGAAGCCTTAATTTAATAGACTAGTTGCAGGGAAGCAGTGTCCTAATTGTCTGTTAAATTATGGCAACGTTCTGCAGATTTTGTCATTTCTTTATTCTACAAAACAAAAACAAATGGAATAGGTTATAAAAGATTTCCTTTATGCATGATGTGAATGGAAGCCTAAGAGTTACGTTAAACATAATGGAAACTGCACCATATGTCACTTCTATGTTTCCTATCTTTCTTGAGCAATGATTTATTTTGCTTTGCTTGTTGCTCCAAGAGGGAAAAAAATTATTTATTTATTTATTTATTTTTTATTAAAAAAGAAAGAAAAAAATACATAAAAGTGTTTTAACATAAAAGTGAAAAAATAACAAAAAGAAAAAAAATATCATTATAACAGTAAACAGTTAGAATTCTATATATGCTTATCTAATACAACTATTAGTCAAGTACATATATATTTCTAATAGAGTTATATGACTATCATTTTTTTTAACCCAGTGTATTTTGTATAAATGAGTCCCATATTTCATTATACTTGTCCATACAAAGTCTACGTCTGTAGGCGATCCACTCATAAATAGCAAGTGCAATCAGGTCTTCAAGCCATTGAATAAATGGGGCCATGCATTTATCTTTCTAATGCTGCAACATCAGTCTTTTGACCATAGTAAGGGCATGGAGAATCCATTTACATTGTCTGGTTGTCAAGTTCCATGTACTAGGTATATAGTTCAAAAGAATGTTATCCTCTGAAAAGTTTAGCTTCTGTTGCACAATCATATTTATATACTGTAGTCCACTACTTTCTCCCAAAACTTAATAAGTGTATGACATTGTAAAAATATATGCTTTAAAGAGGCATTGTCCTTATTACATCTCCAACAAAATGTTGTTTTTGACAATCCTTTTCTATACAGATGTACAGTCGTGTGAAAGAGAAAGTACACCCTATTTGAGTTCTATGGTTTTATGTATCAGGACATAATAAAAATCGTCTGGTCCTTAGCAGTTCTCAAAAGTAAGTAAATACAACCTCAGATGAACAACAACACATGACTTATAACACCATGTCATCATTTATTTTGCAAAAAGAAAGCCAAAATGGAGAAGCCATGTGTGAAAAACTAAGTACACCCTTCCTGCTTCCATAGGTATGAAGAGGCTAAGTAGCAGCCAGGTGCTGCTAATCAAATGTCCTTGATCAATTAATCATCAGCAAGTGTGACTACTTCTATAAAAGCCGACATTTTAGGAGTTTGCTGGTCTTGAGCACTGAGATGTGTGTCAACACAATGCCAAAGAGTAAAGACATCAACAGTGATCTTAGAGAAGCAATTGTTGCTGCCCATCAATCTGGGAAGGGTTATGAGGCCATCTCCAAACAATTTAAAGTCCATCATTCTACAGTGAGGAAGATGATTCACAAGTGGAAAACATTTAATACAGTTGCCAGTCTTCCCAGGAGTGGACATCCCAGCAAATACACCCCAAGGTCAGACTGCGCAATGCTCAGAGAAATTGCAAAAAATCCAAGAATGACAGACTCTACAGGCCTCAGCATGCTAAATGTTAAAGTTCATATCAGTACAATTAGAAAAAGACTGAACAAGTATGGTTTGTTTTGAAGGGTTGCCAGGAGAAAGCCTCTTCTCT